AGTACGCACCACCACGCCTGGCTTAATGCATTGTCCTCGGCCAGGGCCCGTGAGCAGGAAACAAACCAATCTACAAGCTATTCATATTTTCAAAATTTGAGACAGTCATCTTGAAGCCAGGGTTTTATGTGTGAAACAGGGATTTAAATATGAAGCGTGCCCCAAATGTACTGAGGGTTTCAACTTTAACATAGCAGTGATCAGAAGCAGCCCAGAAAAGCAACTGGCTCCTGAGCCACTGCCTCACCAACGACTTAACCCCTTGGTGATTTACTAGAGGCTGGGGGAGGGCTGGGGGAAGCAGGTCCCTATGGGACGCCTGTGAAAGCAGTATCTGCTCCCTAACCCTTTCCTCGCTGGCTCTGTCCCTCTCTCTGCTTCCTGGCTGCCTGCGATGAGCAGCTGTCCTCCGCCAGGCCCGTCCCTGTGATGTTTCTGCCTTGGAGCTGGGTGATCATGGACCGAACCTGTGAGCCCAAATAAACGGTCCTCTTTAAGCTGATTTCTTAGGCGCACAGGGATGAAAAAAATGTCTAAGAATGTTTATTATGTGTATGTCAATATCCACCTTATGGTAGGTTAGAAGCTGGCGCTGTTGACTGTCTTTGGGGTAAACTCATGCTTTACACAGTATGAAGAATACCAAATAAACATTATTTCTTCTTTGTCTTTTCTGTAATTTTCAGACCAAATTATCTAGTCTCCTTGTGAATAATAAATCATTGTTTGCTCCCCAAAGTGAATTTTAGTTATTTTAGTTGTGCCCATACCAGTGTTTCCTGAATGTGAATGGTAGGTACCATCTATCTATTTTGCTGCTGTTGTTGCTTTTTGTTTTTTGAGATAGGGGTCTTGCTATGTAGTCCAGGCTGGCCTTGAACTCACTATGTAGCCCAGGTTGGCTTCACACTCATGGTGAGCCTCCTGTCTCAGCCTCCTGAGTACTGGGATTACAGGTGTGTGCCACCAAGCCCAACGGCATTTATCTATCTTACGTCATGCTTTAACACAATGGAAAATATCATCCTGGGAGGGAGTGGATCATCAGTGCTGCCCCAGGTCTGTCACTAATGTGCTGTATGTCAGAGACATCACATCCTTTTCTGGTAGCTCAGTTTCCTTCCACAACGAGGAAGTTTGAGCAGAGCTCTCATCCCCTGCCCTTTGCTGAAATTATGGGATTCTTGCTCAGATCCTATCTGGAATTAGAAATTATTAACTTCTGGCATGGATAAAAATAATGGTGAGTTTCATTACTATTTCTGGATTAAAGGCAAGAGCATGGATTTGTAAGGCTAACTTAGAAAGCTCTTCTGTTGGAATTCTGCTTCCTTGTGAATCTGCGCAAGGATCAGAGCTTCCTTTGGACACGCTGCCGAGCACGCCTGCTCTGGGGGCTCTGCTTGCTGATCTGCCACAGCGAGGAGACAGGAGAGTCTATGGCAAATGGTGGGCAGCAAGGATACCACCCATCAAGACCTGATGAGAAGCAGTCTTTTGTTTTTAATTAAAAACATAACTTTTAAAATGCCTCATTCATTTTTTGTTTTTGTAGAATCAAAACACAGGAATTTTTCCTAAATGAAAACCAGAAACACTTTAAACTTTTTTAAGCCAGCAAGTTAAAAAAAGCAGCCTAGGAAATTGTCCTTTGTAATTCTGCCAGTTTCAATTTTGATCCTTTATGCAAGCAGTATCAGGGTAATAACATTTGGTTGAAAACAAAGAAAAGAAAGCTCTTAGTAGCTGTTCTGCGCACCTTTCAGTTGTTGATTGGCTGATGTGATGCTAGCTACCGGCACTGCAGCTGCTTTGACATACAACAAGAAGGAAAGTCATAACACAACAACATCAGCACTTTAGAGATCAGTAAGTTCATATATAAGTAAGTCCTAAAAAAATGCCCATGACAGGCTGGGTACAGTGATACATGCCTGTAATCCAAGCTACTCAGGATGAGGCAGGAGGATCAAACTGGAGGTCATCCTGAGCAGCTTACTAAGGCCTTGGATCAAAATAAAAAATTGAAAGGGCTAGGATTGTAGTTCAGGGGTACGGTGCTTACCTAGCTTGTGCAAGACCCCAAATTCAATCTCCTCTACTAGAATAGAAAACTAAATAAAGCTGATGACAATAATCCTAATTATTTTTGACTGCTTCTATTAGTATCAGAAACTGAAAGACAGTACAGGTCAAATTTAGATAAATAAGATGAAGTTAATTTAGCTATAGATGAATAGTACTTATTAGGAGTTTATTATTTGCTACTCAGTTTTGTTGAAAGAACTGGCATTTTTTTTTTCCTGCCTCCACCCCAGGATTTTGTGGAAAGAACCCAGCATCTCATGGTTGCAAAGATTATGAAATCGTCAGCTTTACCCATGGGTATTTCCTGACATTTCTTCGGTAAACTGTAGCCTAATAGGAGATATCAGGAATTAGAGTAAGAAATATTCTAAAAAGCTATTGTCACTACAAAGATGAAAGCAACTTTGATGATCAAAAAGAAGTCAATAAAAAAAGATTGAAAGTAGTTCCTGAATCCTTCCCTATTGTTCATTTGGGATTTCTTCATTTCCCTACTTTCAATATATTATGGAATTTTCTGTGTGAAGTTTTGCCATGAATTACAGTGATGTCAACAAAGTTTTACCTGAAGTCATATTTTACCACAAACAGGAGAAGCCCCCGGCCTCCGGGGAGCCCTGCTTCCCGCTTTTAAGAAGCTTGCCTTTTTTCCTTCTTTGAGTCACAAGTGTCCTCGACGGGACTGGGGCTGGGCTGAGCTTTGGTGACAACGAGACCTACGGCTGCTTTGACCGCACAACACCACGCTCCTAAGGAGATGTTTTCATCTGTGGCCAAATCTGCTGTGCCTTCATTTCCTCTGCTCCTTGCTCTGCTGCCTGTGGAAGGTCTGCGGCATTTGCTACCGTACCAGGCAGGCATTTGGAGCAGTGTTTGTTTTCCTGTCATCCTGTCGTCCTTAATAAGCTCACTTTCTCCATTACTGCCACAAGTTTGTTTTATTAACTAGGAATATACCTTCAACTTGTCGTGAAAGGAGTAAAGGCTGGGAATTCAGATAAACTTGGGTCTGATACATCTCCACTACTTACTGGCTGTGTAGTCTTGGGCGAGTTATGTAACCATTCTGGGGTTCAGTACTGACCTTGTATGATTACTGTGAGGATTCAGTGAATAATATGCATAACATTTCTTGTACAGTGTCATCTCACAGGCATGTGATAAAGCATGGTTATTAGTTTTTTCATCCCAGTATTTCTACTTTGCTACTTTATTACTAACTATATGACACCAATACTATATAATATATATATATGTATATATGTGTATGCAAATTATATACATGTGAAATATACTATACAGGGTACATATTGGAGAGTAGGAAGGAATTATAGGAAGTGAAGTCAATTCAGTGAGTTTCTTAAAGTCACATCTTTATATAAAAATTAACTCAGTATGGATCATACATTTAGTGTAAATCATAAAAGTATAAAACTTTGAAAAAAGAGGAGAAAATTTAGAACGCAGTGTGATGCAAAAAGTTCTTTGACTTCATACCAACAGTATGATCCATAAAAGGAAAGACAGACAAGCTGAAAAATACCAAGCTACAGAATGGGACAAAATATTTGTAAACTGCATAATTCAATAAGTATTAACACTCAGCATCTGTCTGGTCTTACTTTTGCCATTTTACAGTTTTAGGGATTGAACCTAAGGCCTTCACACTGAGCTACATCCCTATCCATTTTAAAATTTTTAAAATTCTGAGACAGGGCCTCAGTAAGTCACTGAACTGTTAAGCTCGAATTTGAAATCCTCCTGCCTCAGCCTCCCAGAGTGCTGGGATTATAGGTGTGCACTACCACACCTGGCAGACTTCTGCCATTCTTGTATAATCCCTCCATGGGAACTTGAGTGTAAACATGTCCAGAGATGAAGGAACATCTCCAGCCCCTCCTTACCAACCATAGTTCAGTGTTTACTCTTTCTAAAAAGTAAAAATGACCTAACCTGATATTCTTGTACTAAGTTTTACTATGAGACAACCAAAATTTAAACATCTGCTGATTCCTTCATATAACAGCTCAGTGGAACTTAGAAGAAGGTTAGGGATGCTATACCCAAGGGCTGAGGAAAAGACATCTGTGAGAGGTTTCACAAAGAATCATGTTTTCTATTGACACACTGTGGACTTTTTCCTTTAAGTTGTCAAAAATTACCCCTTGGTATAATTCATTATGACCAGAAGCGTTGAGTGAAAATAATCCTGTCATGTGAAAATAAAATAGAACATTAACTATTGTTATTGCCACATTATCCTGGTTTATGTTACATTTATTTTATTAACAGAATGGAAAGAAAGGGGAGAAGATTTGAATTCAAAAGAAATTATGACTTATGCCTCTAAGTTGAATAATGTCCATTTATTTTCAGATGATGACATAGCAGACACTGTTGGGTACATTTCCTATATGCGTTTCCTCTCTTATTTATTCTAGGTTTCCTTCTGTACCTAATTCTATCACCAACAGGATCCTGATTGGCCCATGCTAGTTTTGGTACTCTGTATTCTCTTGCCAGGGATCGGGCATGCCAGGCTGAGCATGTCCTGGCAAACAAGATCTGAAAGGAAGTGAGTATGGTGCCTTTAGGAAAAGCCTCTTTACTCTCTGGAAGGAGATGCCTTTCAGCTGCTGGATAGTACCTGGCACTTCCGTAGCCATCTTGCATTCCTTTCAGAACAAAGACAGCACAGGGGTAGAGCCACTAGACTGTCAGGGCCAGAGACATAGCCTGCTCTGCCTCCAGCTTCTTATTCTGCGAGGTAATGTGTTCTTTCACTGTTTATGCCAACCATGGCAAGATGTTCTGTTACTTGCGGCCAAAGGACCCTAGCCGACACAGGGAATACATAAGCTCCTTGACCTACAGAAGAAAACAAACAAACCACAGAGGGAAGCGGGGCATACCTGTTCCTGCGACTCCAGTTCTTTGTGTTGTAATTTTTTCTCTACACTTCGCACTTGATTAGAGCGGGTTTCTAGTTCATCTTGTAAAACCTGAAACAGACAAAATAAACACAGTAACATTAAAAAATTAGCGCACTTGAAAAAAGTAGTTTCACCACATGAACTAGTATTAAAAAGGCCTCAGATCTCCAGTTTATTAATGTTGTTTCAAAGAGTTTGGGCAAACAAATCTATGCTTTTGTGAGTTAGGCCCAGATTCTTTCTGCCTTAGGAATATCTAGGATAAAAAATTCAAACTTATAAAGCAGACAAATTAGCATATATCAATACATATTACAAAGGTCTTTTATTTTCCCAGCACAGAACCACAACCATGTAATAAAGCATAAAGCTATTTCTAATTAAAACCGCCCTACTAGTACATCTGCGAGGCACACTTATACTCTAAAACATGTTGTGACAAATAGGAATTATAGTATCTGACCAATACGGCATTTTTCAAAATTACAAAATTATTAAATTACAGGAATCTTAAAGGAATCTCACTAAGACAAAGAGGACGGTGTAGAATTTGGAGACTTTGTAAGAAGTGGACTGAAATGAACTTTTGGTCACCAAATAGCTGTTGGAAACAGAATTTGGGTTAATATAAGGGAGTTTAGAGGCCATAAAGATCAAGAATTATTATTCCATCAATTACTATTTTATGTAAAAAGTGAACTAGAAAACTGCAGGATTTATTCAAATAATCCCGTGTAATTATAGAAATAATAAATGAAAACTTATGGTGAGCAGGACACATGAGAAGACAGCAGCAATGATGCCAAATAAACTCTCAAAATAAAATTCATACAGTCAGTGTTACTGGATTCCCGGCAAGTTGCAATAGGTACTCTCGGTATAGCACATACAAACTCCCACACTCAGGAGAAGAGGCAATAAGTAAACAGTTAGGATAACATAATCAGTGATAAGCGCAGAAGAAAACTAAAGTAGAGAAAGGGAAATTCTGGAGCTGTGTGGGGAGAGGTGCCGCAGTTTTAAACAGATGCCCCGAGAAGGCCTAAGTGAACAAAGACCAGGAAGGAAATAGGGCCGCACGGACGTCTGCGGGAGACCCTCCCAGGCACAGATGCTGCACATGTAAACACCCTGTAGGACTACGGAGGCCCAGATGGTGAGGGAGCAGACAGCAAGCGGAGTCTGGGATGCAGCAGGGCCAAAGTCATATCAGGCCACTTAGAGTATCACAAGTCAGTTAAGAACTTTAGGTTGTACTCAGAGGCACATGGGGATGCTCTTGAAGGACTGGGAGCAGGTACCGCTTTGGTGCAGACTGAAATGGGGCCAGGCAGATGGAGGGAGGCACGTTAGAAGCCACTGCAACCCACTGGAAAGAGCGTGATGGACAACTGGGTGACGGTGGCAGGCGGTGGGAGAACTGCCAGGTCGGGGTGAAGATACAAATGACAGTCCCGACGGAGTGAATGCAGGGCATGAGGAAGGACGGCCGCACACAGTTTGATCTGAGCATCTCAAAGACTGCATTTGGCATGTGGCGAGATGAGGCAGGTGTTCTGGGAGAAGTGCCAGGACTCAGCCTGGGGTCTAAGTTTGAAATACCCAAGTAGAGACACAGGATAAGGGCCTAGAGTTCAGACTTATCGTCTAAGTCAGTATCCATTAAAAATTCTCTCAATGCAAGGCCAGTCTCTCCTATGTATGTGTGTGTGTGTGTGTGTGTGTGTGTGTGTATGAAAGAGACAGAGAGAGAGAACAATTCTGAATCTTTTCAAGGTTCTAAATCTCTCAGTGCATCTGATAAAATGTATGTGGTCACTTCCCCAAAAGGGAAGAAAACATAGGCTTATATTTTTCCTCTGATTTTCAGGAGTCCATAGATAACCTGAAGCTCATCCATAGACAGACCTCAGGCTAAGAACTTCTAATTTAAAAAGTAAGGTGATTTGAGAAGGATCTGAAATGCTGCAGTGTCTCTTTTGATATTTAACCTGCTTATACATCTGCAATTTGACCAGGCCTGAGAATGAACTTGAAAATCTCTTTCATTCTTCATGTGTCTCCAATTCTGGTGCCTTGGTATGTTTCCAATAGATGAGCGCAGTTGATCCTATGCTTATTGATCCAGTAGCATAAAGGATGCTACCAAGAAGTAGGGCTTTCGCTTTCTTCCTGGAATAATTGGGGAGACGAATGAAGAGGGTATCAGGAAGGATATTTATGCATGTTTTTCTGTTCCTGCTTTTTCCTGTTCTCTGCTCCACTTGCATATTGTCCGCAGAGTGAGCTTCTTAGATGTAAATCTAATCATGTTATTCTCTCCCCGCCCTCCGCCAGAAACGCTTACGCCACTCTCCGGTATCCCTGAGATGTAGCTCCAACTTCTCAGCAAGGTACACAAGGACCACTGTCAGCAGGCATGGTAGGAGCCTTGGTGTGCACATGCGGTTGTTACTACCACTAACAGTGGGAGATGGATTGGATTTTATTTTTAACCCTCGCTGCAATTCTGTGCAGCAGTTACTATTTCCATTACGTTAGAGACCATCCAGCTCCGTGTGGATACGCAGCTCGCTCAGATCCACATGACCAGCACTAAGGCGGTGGACTGGAATTTTAACATTCCTCTTACCTCAGATGGAATATGCCTGGCTATTCCATGCTTCCTCTTTCTCATTCTGGACGGGGTTTCTGTTTTTTCCCTCCATCCCTTCTACTCAGCTCAACAGTGTCATCCCCTTGACCTGTGTCACCGCTAAGATTCCTCTGGGCTTTTGTCCACCTGGTGTTGGGGAGAATTAATTTACATGTCTGTGTGAGGATCAGAACAACTGCAGCTCAGAGCTGGCTCCTGTCATCTTCGCAAGCCTGGTGCCATCCAGCTCGGTGCCTGCTGCACAGGTGTCTCTGCCTTCATGGTTATGGAAGGAACTCATAAATATCTGAGCCTCTTCCCTGAGGACATGGACTTCAATCATCAGGGCTCCTGGCTGTTCTTAACACGGCACATTTATATAAATGTTATTGTGCACTCTAAAATACAGAATATACAAATGTATCTTCTAAATATCTGTAGCTATCTTGCACATACGCACATATATAATTATTATTACTGATAATAATACGTTGTCTGGTTTCTGCTACAGACAAGAAAAATAAAGAAAAAAGAAAAAAAAGGAGATGTGCACGCACTTCCCTTGCCTTAAATAAAAAACCGTTCCCTACCTCCTGGCTGCCTCTCGCCTCCCTTCACCAGCACACCTGAAAGTACCCACAGTCAGCTTCCCACGTCCTCCTCTGTGTCTCGCAGCACCGGTCGTACTCCCCTGCACTCACTGGTGACGTGTTACCTCCTAGACGCCGAAGCCAGCAGTGAATATTCCCCTCAGTTCCCAGCAGCATTTGGTTCTCTGCACCTCCCATTGTGCTTTTCCCTTGAATTTTGAAGAGCTAATTCTGAGCCGTGAAGTCGAGGGGTTAAGGAACGGGGCTGCTGCCAAAGTGAAGTTCAAATGTAATAAGGCCTTGAGTGAGGGTAGTGGCTGTGGAGAAGGGCGGAGTTGGGAGAATAACTAGTGTGAGTTTAGGGAAAAGAGGGGCTCAGAAATACCGTGAGGCTTTGACACTGAATGCCTGGAAAGCAGACAGAGCAGTCTATGGTGAGTCAGAAGTTATAGGGGAAGAATGGCTTTGCCATGCTGGGTTAAAGGAGCTGCTAGGCCTTCACGCAGAACCCACTGTGATGGTCTGAATCCTTCTATCCCCCAAATTCATAGGGTGAAATCCTTAACCCCACTGTGCTAAGGTGAAGAAGTGCAAGCTATGGAAGCCAGAGCCCTCAGGAATAGGATTAGCGCCCTTAGAAAAGAGGCCTGAATGAGGTCCCTTGCTTCTTCCACTGTGAGGACAGTGTGAAAGACAGCCATTTGTGGGCCAGGAATCAGGCCTCACCAGACACGGCACCTGCCAGTGCCTTGATCTTGGAAGTCCCAGTCTCCAGAACTGCGAGCAAAGGCGTGATGCTTACAGCTCCCCAGCCTAGAGTGTTCTGTTCCGGTGGCCTGTCCTGAAGACAGCTGCAAAGGTGGGTCTGGAGAGGGCCCAGCCCCCCAGACAGCTGCACATGGGACATTTCCTCATGTGAAGAGTTCTCTAAACTTCCCTTTGATGCCCACACCTCAGACCAGGCAGAGGAGGAGGAAGCTAAGAAGGCTGCCGAGAATCCAACAGGTGGGAGGCAATTAAAAAGTCAGGCCCATGGTTTGTGTCTGGGTGTCCCCTCAAAGCCTCATGCAGTCATGGGGCGGGCTTCTAGAGTTTATGATTGATCCATGGTCCAATGCTGGGATTGTAGGTGAGAGTGCTACACCTGCCCTGGGGCGGGTAGTTTGCATACAATATAAGGGAGAAAAAGAGGCTTGTTTGCTGCTCCTCCCTTTTTGCTCTTGCTGCTTTTGCTGTCTTCCGCCTCCATGAATTCTTGCCCGCTGCCATGTGCCACTCTGCCTTGGAGCCAGCCAAGTACAGGCTGAAACCTCCACAAACTGTAAGCTAAATAAGCCTTTCCTTCCTTAATTTTGGGTGTCGGGTACTTTGTCCCAGTGAGAGAAAAGTAACCAAGACAGTCAGCATGAGGGAAATCTGCCTAAGTGTTATCTTCAAAGAGGACAGTGCAACATAATCAGATCTGATCTTTCCTCCATAGTCTTTCATATGGTGAAAAACTATTAAATCTACCACATTTTATCAATACTATCAAAACAGAATTCAAATTACATTGGCATTTCAAAAAATAGCACTTAAAAATTCACTCATAGTTTAAATGTAAAATGTGATCTTTTTAAGGTTAATCAGAGAAAGTAGTTTTGAAATTACTTTTATTATCTATCGAAAATCAGTGTAAAGGTAATCAAGTAATATTTCACTTTCAAAAAAGTGTATCACATGAAAGGAAAATGATGGTTTGTATTGGTAACTTTTCCTGGTTTTACATTCTAAAATAATTATGTTATTAGAGCTCCAACCACAAAATTTGACATGAAGCTTTTGTAAAAATGACCACAACTCCC